ATGCTAGAGCGGACAAGTTATGGGTTGGGATTTAAGCAAGCCCACTCAGCTGGGTTGAGGGCACACTGGAATGGGATTGGGCTAGGACAGCCCATCTGAAATCTGAGAAGGAGGAAAAGGGCCGGGAGCAGACTGGAAGCCGCTTTATCAGCTGTGGTTGGTTTCTTCAACTACTCTTTGACTATTTTGACCACTTACCAAGTTTTTAGTTTTTGCTTTATATTTTTATTATATATGTAAAAACAGAGGTTGGAAGTAATTTTGTTAAGGGAAATAATTTGTTATTATGTCAACAACGACTGGGAACATAGCAGAAATCAACAAAAAGCACTTTATATAGCTGCCGTTGTTATGCTAACACCAACTTTTTTTTCCAGGTTTCTTGTTGCAGCGGTGAACATGATTTTGCTTAAAGGGAATTGAGCTGGTTTGGATCCTAAAAATTTTCACTAAACATGTTTCATTTCATTTTTTTAATTTTACCTGGTTTTATATTTTATATTTCTTGTTAATCTCCTTATTAAAAAAAAGTTATAACCCTCTTCTTTTCGCAAACGACTCTCTCGAAGATCATCTTATCTATCTTCATCCTTAATAATCCATCTGGTTTATCCAGTGTTAATTATTACAAAAAAAAAAATATATATGTGTAGCCTTAATGAACATATTGACATTGCTATACCATGGAAATATTAGATAGTTGCGATTGGATAGTGTGTAATCAATTTGGTCGACCTTCAAAAGATCACTTCTAATTAAACCTAAACTCTAGGGCATCGAAACGTCTTTCCAAAATCCCCCAAACGACATATAGAATCCGATTCCAGCCGAAACCTCTTAGAATTGGAACTTGCAAGCACTAGACCAGTTGAAGTTACATTCCTGTCTTGTAGCTAGCTAGATATATTTCTTCAAAGGCAGGAAACATCAAAATGTACACATGATATCTAGAAACGCGCAAGCAAAAGCGGTGGTCGATTCAGTAAAGCTTGCCAAACCCTATCTACGGGGAAAAGAAAACTGAAGGCGAGCAGGTGGCGAGGCTTCACTGTACATGCTGTGCTGTTCTTTCCAAAACAATTTGAGGATTGTGGAATTTGTCGATATGGGTTAGCTGTAAGGAGCTTAGCTAGCAATGAGTGGGCGGTGCTCTCTTCTCTATCCATCCTCTGCTCCCACCACTGCCTGCCTTTTTTTTGGCCCCTTGGGATGCTAATCGGCCACTTGCTCACACCTTCATCAATTTTCTTCCTATAAATAGCGCATACGATTTGAACACTACCAATTGCAGTATCAGTAGTTCTCAAAAGGCATAGTGTCCTACAAGATAAGATTATCTGCTGAGGGTCGGCCTGGCATGGAGATGGAGAGGGGCGCGGTCTAGCCAAGGATGACTTGCCGACAGACACGCGGCTAAACCTGGCTTTTGCTGGTCGGCAAGTTAGCCTTGGCTACATTGTGCTCCCTTCATATCATGCCAGACCGTGTATTAACTCCTCCTTTCGCCGGCCGCAGGTCAGCCGGCCACCTTGAAGTAAGCTACCTATATCTGGCTACAGATATGTCTGATTTACAAGGTGAGGCTCCAGTTGGTATTTGCTTTAATGTCGTGTCTTTTTTCAGGACGAAAGGAAACGGAACTGTGAAACTACAGAGCACGTTGGAGTTTTGGATACGTGCGTGCATGCCGCCTTTTCTGACTTCCATTTTTTTGGGTACACATGATGGCGACTTATTTGAACGTGCACCCTTTTCTGAAGCTCTTTCCGACAGATCTTTCGCCTTTTCCTTTCTGGCTGACGATGGGATTCCACTCACACGACAGACGACACAACCCCTTTTCTGAAATGATGGGGGACGGTAGATGCGTAATTTGGTGGAAATTACTTTTTCTATTGGACATTCACACGTTTTTTTTTTTGTATATCTATAAATGGATGCAGGATTATCTTCAGTCCGACGACCATGTTATAGACAAGCAAGGTATATGCTGTTTACAAGAAGGAACGAGTATCAAAGTAAGTACTATTTTCGATCGATTCAATTATAATTGATCATATATATCTCCAATTTGTTTTTTTTTATGTGACGAATAACCCTTACGTACCTACAGGTTACAAGCACTACTTAGGCGAGGCCGCAAACAGCCTAAATTCCGGGGCCGGGGGAGTGGTGCTAATAGAGGCAAGATCAAAAGGGCGACGCTAGAGGCAAACTTCAAACCCCGGTTCGCAACGAGGAGAACAACAAACCAACACTCACATCACTAGAGCTAGCCCTCGTTCGCATCTTCAACGTGTTTCGACATAACCTAGCTAGTACGTACCCTTTATTTTCGTACTAGCTTGAAATAAAGCAATCGGGCTGTCATTCATGATAACCAGCTATATATATTACCTTTCTTTATCTCCGTGAAAAAACAACCCTTTTTGCTGATGATCACATTGTCTTCAGGAAAGCAGCAGATTGGCAGGAGGTAACAGCTACGTATGAACCAGCTGGCCCGATAGCTTCCTGGATGAAACAACCAATCTAATTACCATTTTCACTGCAAGTTTGTTGCCCAAACCAAATATTAACGTGTACCTTCACACAATCTGTGTAAACTTAATTACGAGACATATAGAGGTGTACCATTTTTTTTACCTGCAAGTTTGTTACAAAACCAGTATGTTGCGCGACCCAAGTGTTGTTTTCCCGAAGTTAACTTGTACCTTAACGCAACCTGTTGCAGAAAGTAGAGTAAGTTGTCAAAACACTATATATCATCCATTTCGTCTCTAACTGGGGCTTCTTCACACAATGGCAACTAACATGTTAAATAGGTGTTGCGTACAATCCATTCTAAGGCGATCGATATAACAATGCACTAGCTATGCCTGATCACTCCCAAGCTCATTTGACTGTCACCAAAAGATGATGATATAGATGATAACATAAAAAAAGCTTTATTGGGAGTGATTCGTATGTGTCCATCCATCGATCGTTTCACAGTTTCCATTCAGTGAGATAGCGCGCTATATAGTAACGCTGTCACAAGCAACTTTGTGAGGGTTTCACATTGACATTGAAAACTATTTGCAGCGACATTACTTCAACGTACATATCCACAACTTGAAAATATGCTTAAAGCTAGCTAGCACCAATTGTTCATGGGGTAATTAATTAAGATGGCATTTGAGGATGATGCAAAAGGAAAGCAACACAAGGACAAGGGGTTTTCACCTCCCTCAGAATGAATGAGAGCAAACCCTAGATATCCATGATACAAGTGAGGAAGCAACATAATCCTCTTGACAAAAGGTGCTACACAAAATGCATTAACAAAAACACAACCCACCGTGCTAGCTAGTTATCAATCTAATCAAACTATCTAAACTCTTGTCTAGTCGTCCTTCACAATTTAGACGATATGTTCGATCCCATAAATGTATAACCCTAGCTAATACATAGTAGCTAGGATCCCTATATATTGACATCATGAAAAGTGCAACATTTCGCTTAACTGAAATAGTCCATATATGCAAACGAGGATCGATAAAAGAAAGAGCGAATAATCATACTCCCATTGAACTCTCTTGTGCAATCAATTGTTGTTGCGGGTAAAGGCACGACAATATATATCATGGAACTGGCTAGCTCTCCGAGAGAAACTTATAGCAAAATCATCCTATCGAAAAAGAAGATGAGTTTGCTAAGGCGGGAAGGGGATGCTAATGGATTTTTCATTTGATGAAGGACCTAGCCTTGATGGGTACAAGAATTGCTCTCCATGAAAGATCAGTTAATGTCACTTGACTTCGACTCTCATTGTTTAGACAAACAAATGACTTTCATGAGTGACCATGTGGTTAGCTTTATCTCTTCTCCAGAACTAGCACCTATCTATTTAGCATAGCTAGGGAGGAATGTACCATGAAGACGGGAATCAAGGGTATAAGGGAAATGATGAGTGACTTCTTTTACCTTATCAAAGGCTAAAGAATCAACCCCTCAATGAATTCATTAACCCTAAGTTACAAACATCCTCACAAAAACACAAATTGATTATCACCTCTACATGTTCATTTTAAAAAGTCACATCTCCAAAACCCTTCCAAAGTCTTGAGCAATGATTATTATGACTTCCTTTTCCTTTTAAGGCAATGACATCAATGCCTTATAATTCTAGGTTTTCTAAGTGTAAACCAAAAGGAAATGTGAAATATAAATCTCATACAAATTTAAAGTCTTTCCAACAACCGGAGTTAACGAGACCAAATGGTTTGTTCTTTAATGATAATAAAACTTCAACCTAGCTGGAGTTCAATTAAAAAATTGCAATTAGGTATGTCGTGGCGGAGGGAGGTGAGGGGGAGGGGTCCTAGGACCCCAGTTGGTAAAAAATTGGGCAACAAAATCCTTTAGATATGTAGGGTTTAGTACGATCCTTTAAATTTCGGACCTCATATTCTCGACGATATTAGCTTACCAAGGACCCTGATCAACTCAAAATTCAGCAGATACACAGGGTTTAGTGTTAGTAAATTTTTAAGGACCCCAGTAAACTTAAAGTCTGGCTACGCCGCCATCATAGAAACACAACAAGAGCCAAAGTAGGAAAGAATTCAACCATCCCCAGTTTCGAATTAAAAATTTTAGGTAAAGCTTTTTTTCCCCCCGAGATACAAGCCAAACACATTAACATCCAATCTTCAGAAAAGGAAACTACTACTGCCTTAAAGGTAGTGTTTGGGAACCTGAGAAAAGCTTCAGAGCAACAAATCAGAACGGAACCCTGACAAATAGTAAACTACAAAAGAAAGCTCAGGCAGCAAATGAGACTATATACGAGAGAGTGAGCAGATCTAGTGCGAAAAACCCTAATAATAATCGAAATGCTGGTATATCAGAGAAGAATTTGAATTCATTCAAATTCTTCTCTGATATGGTACTAGATAGTCTACACATCTTGATGAGAAAATGTACTCTTACGAACCGTGTGTCTCTCCGGCCGGCCGTCACGGTCGCATCCCGAATGCCACCTGTGTTGTCGCTATATGGAGCATGTAACCGCCGGCCGGGAAGAGGTAGGCGAAGAAATGTGAGACTGTCTCTCCGGCGGATTCGAGTAGCTGGGACAGGGAGAAAAGAAGCGGCGGCGGCCGGCAGTTGAATGACGAGAATGGGAAGGAGATGAAAGTTGAGATGTTGTGGTGGGCTTCATTGGAGCGGACTGAGGGACGGGTTTCAACTTTCAAATCCAGTTTAGTAGATAAGGTAAAAGTAAAACCTGCGAGATTTGATTTGAGAGGTGCATGCGTTAGGGTTTATTAGATAAAGTTAAAATCATTTTTTTTAATTGATCATCCTTTAATTGCCTACTACTACTACTACTATTATTATTATTATTATTATTATTATTATTATTATTATTATTATTATTATTATTATTATTATATTAAAAGAGTCACGTCAACAAGGATGATTTTATTGCTTAACTTTTTATTAAATAATCAAATGTTTTAATCGTTTCCTCTTATCGCAATCTAACCCAAATTCATGTATATATAACCTAATTCGACTCGATCAAAATGAGTTGAACCCAATCTTGACGTCTTACTCGCTTTTATAATTAACGAATTGAGTCGGGTGTGAATTTTGTTTAAAACTCGCATCGCATTATCAAGCCAGTAAAAGCGACATTTGATCATTTCCTCTTTATCACAATCGAACTCAAATCCATGTGTATTTCTACCCGCTCAAAACGATATGAACCCGGTGTTGATGAATTATGAGTCGGGAACAAATTTTATCTGCTTCTGTAATTAACGAATTGGGTCGGATGTGGATTTTGTTAAAAACTTGCCTCGCTTTATCAAGCCAGTCAAAGCGACATTTGATTATTTCCTCTTATCACAATCGAACCCAAATCCATGTGTATTTCTGCCCGGTCAAAACGATTTGAACCCGGTGTTGACGAATTATGGTCGAACAAATTTTGCCCACTTTTGTAATTAACGAATTGGGTCGGGTGTGAATTTTGTTTAAAACTCGCCCCGGTTTATCAAGCCAGTCAAAATGAGTTGAATCCAGTGTTGACGGATTTAGGGGTTCTTTTTGTAATTAACCAAATCTTGGAGGAGTTTTTGTGCCATTAAGGTTCTAATTAATTAACTTATGACAACTGAACCCAAATTGAACACAAACCCATGGGTATTCGTCCTACTTCGATTCGATTTAAGCGAGTTGAACCGGGTGTTTACAAATTTTTGCTCAACAACAAGTTTTGCAGACTTTTCGAATTGAGGGGTTGGGTCGATGTGAATTTGTTCAATACTTGCCCCGCTTGCCTTTTCTTCTGTGTTGGCGAATTTTGGGGTGAA